CGCCCGTCTTCCCCATTTCCCAGGCAACCTTTAAATGGTCAAGGACCTCCAGACTGTACATTTATGTATTCAATAAATTAAAAAAAAGAAAGCAAAAAAGACAGAAAATGAGTAGATGCACGGGCGCCACTGTTTACGACCCTCAGTGCTTCTAACCCCCGGGTTACTATGATCCCGGGGTCCCCATCCAGGGAGCCTTACGGTACCTATAATCCCGACTAGTATTAGCGCGAATCGGGTGAGACGATAGTGAAGCTTTCTATCGTCAAAGTTGTACGGCGGTAGCGATGTTCTAACTTCGGACCCGGATGACCCAAACCACACAGATGACAGCGACTAACACCGCTTGACCCTGACTGGAAAAAAGGTAGAATGAGAACTCACTTTTAAGAACGGTGGCTCTTCCTCGACCAATTCTATTTCAATATCTTCATCAGACTCCTCATCCTCGCGTGGCAACAATCCAGTTTCCTCATCGAAATCGGGCAAATCAGTTTTTTCCACCACACCGGCGGACATCATCTGTTTGAGTTCCCAACGTTCGGGACTGCTGATCCGTTGCACTTTACTACCACACGGGAAGGGAACGTGACAAGATGCGAGGAACGAAGATTTGGGAAATGAAAAGTATTGGATTAGTGATTCATACAAGCACGATCACTACTGCATAAACTCGAAAGTGCCACCCAGCTGATCCTATGCTAGACGACTTCGTTTAAACACATCAACTTGATTGACTATTTAAAGATTCGTGAGTGTAAACAAGCATAATCAAAGTGTAAACATTTATTTAGTTCTGAAATATCCTCTTCTAACTTTTATTCTTGATGGTCAAGAGGAACAAAAGAAGGAATCAGTCCCAGCCGAGTGCTCATGGTGACCCCATCGATTTGGGGACATCCTTGTTCAATAAACAAAAAACTTAACGTTCGATGTGCACAGGAGTGGGTCATTTCGCTTCCAGGTTAACGGATCCGCAGTTTATTTCGTTCAATTATCTGAAGAATAACTCCGACGGTTTCATACAGTGAAATATCTTGGAAGAGAGATATAACACTCAGGATAGACATCGTTCCGCACTGTATAGTTCTGGTTGTCAGTTAATTACTCACCTCAAAGCGATTTTGGACATTAGATCGAGCGATCGAACGTCTCAGCGGTACTGTCACCCTAACCCACTAGATTGCAATTTCATGTATTTGGGTAAATTGGTTATGATTAGAATGGGTCGTAATGGAACACCTTCCTTATCCCCCTGGAGATGGGGAGGGGTAGTGAATCTTGTATAAGGTTCGCCCGAACTGCAGTTCTCAATCCCGCGCAGATTTTCTTTGATCGCTTGAGTATGATTAGGCCTAAAAATTGGTCTCATCCCGTACGTTATGCATCATCTTTTCTCGG